ATAGTTCCCATGGATGCGCAAAGCTGGTTTGGAATGACAATGTAGCGTGAGAGGATGCTCCGATCGATAAGTGAAACGGTGGCCGTCAGACCCGTCATATCTTCCAGCCCCCCCCACATGTTATGTTATGGCGGAAGAAATCCGTTTCTATTTCAGGTCAGTCTTTAGTGAACATTTGTGAATAAGGAGTCATAACCATCTAAAGTACTTTTGTTACTTCTGTTACTGATTGTAAATCGCATTTATTTATATATCTTTGTTGCTAATCAAAATAATTATTTTGTAATAAGTTGGAATGATGTATGTTGCTCTGGGCTCCATAAAGTACATCTACAGCTTTGCTACTTTGATTTAATTATAGTGGCACTTGACATTTCATCAGCTGTTACGCGCGTTGCCACACACTGGCGTGGCTAGCACGTGGTGAGCACATGGCTGCGGTCACTGGCGGTCATGCGGTCACCAGTCCCCTTGAGCGTTCAGAAGGACGTTCGCGATGTATTAAAAAGATACCTTTTATAAGTCAGGAGGTTCGCTCACAGTGTATTGTATTAGCTCTTGATTTGTATTCATCCTGTTTAAATCCATCGAAGTGAAATATACTACTTTCATTGGTACATCTCTTTAAAAAACTTGTTTATAAGAAGCTTGCCGCATTCTAATTTTGTTTAACATACCGCTCACTGGAGGGAACCAAGACCTCGTCCCATTTCTTTTTAAACTGTCTTATTCCATTGTCACGAATGTAACATGCCAACGTAGTGACATAAGATACAGAAGATGTACGTTAGAGAATATCCAGGTATGATAGTGATTACGAGCCAGCACGCCATTGAACATTTGATTTTAAACGGAATGGAATTTTCGTTCATTACTGTCGTTTGCGGCTGTACAATGGACTTTGAAAGAATCAGTATTTCGTTGTTTAAGCCGTAAGGAGTAACATAAAATGTATTACTTATAGGTAACACCGTGGTCTCCCAAAAAACCCTGCAATTTGGTTTTTGTATTATTTGCGCATTATTTAATGTTTTTATTGAATGTACGTGTCATATAACTATTGATACGCATATTTGAATCAAAATTTTCGAAATATAAATTTTTGTTTTTTTTGTGTTTTTTGAAGCTTGTGTGAAATTCAGTTTCATGTATTTCTTTTAGATTATTTTTTGTAAACCAATATTATAAATCTGGTCATTGCATATATCTAGTCACAACAGATAGTAATCACAATTTTTTCACACATTCATTGCACAATTTCGTGGAACACATGGAACAATTCCGTTCTGAACCAGCAGCTGACTTTGGGAAGACACATTTATAAGCTTATTATCTTTTGACATTTTCAACTGAACATATTTCTTACAACATATTTTGAAAGTAATAGAGAACCCAAACTATAAAGATATGTCAATAGTTCTTTATGTAATGTATGTGGATGTATTTAATAGCAATTTTATTTTATAGTTAGGAAAGTAACTTGTGAAAAGAAATGTGTTTACACAGAAATTAATAGTGTCATAATATGAGTACTGCAGAATCATTAAATCTTAACTTTCAAATTATATTCTATCACAATATCAACATGTTCAGATCATCAATGTATTTATTGTTGAATTGATTTATTATATTATCTATTTATTCTTAAATATATTTAAAATAAATCCAATCATAACATCACAACTTTATTTTACTCACATTCATTGCCTATACAAAATGAAAAACATTCAATTGTTTTCTTATTAAAAATTATTACCAATATATTCCTTCTAATAATTTTTTAATATAACATACCATCTACATAATGTACATCTATAAAATACTTTTTGTTACAATACTTTAATTTTGTCTCTCTTAAAGCATTGATTAAAAAAAAGTGTAATCATTTCTTCTGTGGATTTAAATTCTATAACTATTTTTGCATTCATTACTTCCTCCTATACATTTTCTGTTTTTCCAATTTTCATATTTTCATTTTTGGGTACTTCAATATCATTCTTACTATCTGTAAATAAATTAATTTTTATCTTTTTTGTTGAACACTTTTGATCCTTTTAAAATATTCTTGGTCCATATTAGTTCTTTTATCCCTTCAGACAAAGCTTCAAGTTTACTTTCTATTGTTGACACACTGGCAGATGACAGGCTCCAATGAATCTGTTGTTGACACACTGGCAGGTCGGGGNCCCCCCCCCCCCCCCCCAAAAATAACCCAAGAGTTTTAGTTTACCTTCCTTTATTGAGCTTTAAATATTTATTATGTTCGAATTATGCAATTATTTAAACAATAATAAATGTAAAATGTTCTGTGTCATATATACAGTACATTAATAATAAACAATATAATAACAAATATGTTTATTATTTAACAAAAATCTATGATGACCCCCCTAAAAATAATTCGCTGGATCCACCAACAAAACTCCTCCAGTTTATTATGCATTTACCTATTTCTATTACAAGTCCAGAATAAGATTTTGCATCTCTTGTTTTATCCCAACTTGCATCAGTATATCTTGTTAATTTTAAACTTCCTTTTGAAATTATAATAGAATAATTTAGGGTTCCTTTCAGATATTTCAATATTCTTTTTACAGTATTAAAATGTACTTCTCCAGGGTCTTTATTGAATCTACTTAGGTTGTTTACTGTAAAGCAGGTATCTGGTCTAGTTTGTTTTTCTAAAAATAACATTTTTCCAATTATTTCTTGATACATTTTTTCATTAACCTATTTACTGTCTTCATAAATATCAAAATTTGTTGTCAAATCCATTGGTGTTTTTACTGTTTTACTGTCATTCATTTTATATGTATCTAATATTTCCTTTACATATTCCTTTTGATTATTACAACTGTTATTACTATTAATTTAAAATTCCATGCCTAATAAAATATTAATAACTCCTTAATCTGTAATGTCTATTTTTGATTCTATCTTCCTCCATATCCACATAAATTCCTAAGTATAAAAAGTTATTTTCTTGATTTATATAGTATACACAAGGATGATTTACTGACTTTATTAATTTTCCTTCTTCCAATATTTCATTTAATTTTTTGTTCCACATTCTACTGGATTGTTTCAAACCATTCATACTTTAATTTAACTTACATACTTCATTTTTTTATTCATATCCCTTTGGTTGTTCAATATAATTCTTGTTGTAATTCTTCGTACATAAAAACAAATTCTTCTTGTTTTGATTTTACTCCTTTTGCAACTGCAAGTTTTAGTAGTATTCTAATTGTTTCCTGTCTTATTGTGGGAGCATATATTTGTGCAAAATCTTCTCCTTGCTTTTGACCATAGCCTGCAGCTACAAATCTTGCTTTATATTGTAATTTTTTGTGCTTTTTTCTTCTTTCCTGAACATATCCAAGTACTTTTAATACTCTTTTTATTACTTAGTCTGTTTTCTAAATTCCATACATTCATTTTCTTCATTCTTCCAATTTCTTGTTCTATTGCTTGTAACTATTCATCCTGATCCGACTGCATGGGATCTTCAAATGTATTAGGAATTGTTACTTCAGATAAATGATGTATTTTATTTATTTTGTCTTTTATTCTTTCTCATCTTATCAAAGGAGTTTGATTCTTACAATTTTCATTCTCTTCTTGTCTCATTTCTTCACTTGATTATATTTCTTTTATATCATTTGTAATACAATCTTCCTTTTTCTTTGTTATGTTCAGTTTCTTTTAATTCTCTGTCTTGTTTATTCTTCTCATTGCCATTTCTATATACATTTTATAAATAAATCTTGAATATTTTTATCCACTTCAGTTTTTAAGTGAAAGGTATTATCCATTAATACTTTATTTATAAATTTGAGCCCATTATCTGAATGTACTTATTTAATTTTATTCTCTCTTTTCCTTTCACACCTTCCTACAAATTGTAATAATATCTTTGTGAGATGTGCATTCAGAATATAACAACTAAATTGTTTCTTTCTTACTATTATTATTCATTCATTAGTACCATAGCATGTTCATTTTTAGAACTGAAGAAATAATTTTTTTGATTATTTCTTGTATTATTCTTTAATTTTATCTGTATAATTTCCTCTATAGTTGTTTGAATAATTATTTTTACAATTTATTTCACTATTATTGTGGTTCACATTACTTGTATGGTAATTAATTTTGTTCCAACGATTTTTAGCTAAGTGACCAAGCTTTCCACAATTATAGCAAGTACCTCTCTTTTGTTCTTTTACTTTAAATGTATGAGTTTCCGATTCTGCTCATTTATTGTATTTCTTTTCAAATTGCAAAAATTTTTCCCTTATAGTTTCATAATTAATTGACAGATTGATATTGCTATGATTTTCTAGCAATCGGAATTCAATACGTTTTTTTTAAACTAATTTGACCATTGAAACATTTGTGCATCATCAACAAACATTTAACACTCGCTTCCTTACATGAATTCCATCACAATGTTTTATTGTCTTTAATTTAGGCATATCTTCATCATATGTTGATGGCAGTACACGTGTCTTCAGATTCAGGGTTATTTGTTGTACCATGATGGTCGACCAATGGTGTAAGGGTGTTCAATGTTTCTTTTTGTTAAGATATGAGTATCAAACTGTTTATTGTAGAAGTTTTAAAATGGTGCACATGAATAGTAAAATTGGCCCGGTGAAGCACATTTTGCCTTTTCATTAACATATTGTTATACTATTTTGAGACCACTTTGTCCACAAATACCTTGTATTGGGATCTAAGAAGTCTAAAAGCAAGTTAGACCAGTTAGACAAAATGTCCTTTTACAGAATAAAAATGAAGCCAATATAGAAAATTGAAAGTCAAGACATAAAGATTAGTCAATCTGGATAGATATAATTGTAGTAGCAAATTGTCTAATCTCTAAGAATATCACAGACCAGTCATCATATGGAATTGCTGGGAAATTGGAAGAGAAATAATTTGTGATTGCAGTGTCAATGGCAAGTTACATAGCTGCTATAAAAGTCATTAAATTAATATTAAATAATAAGTTAAGAAGTTAAAATAGTAGTGCAATTGTACAATTTTCCTGGTCTGGAAATTCAGTTGGATCTATTAGTATTGTAATTAAAATGAGAAGATAAACGAAATATAAAAATCCACTAAGTTTTTTCAATACCTGGCATTTCCAATAGACACATGAAAGCTTGTTGAGCAACCAAGTTTTGTTAATTTACACACTCTATAAATCAAATAGGAAATGAACATAAATCATTACTCTTTTCATAATATAGTTCTTTCAAATAATTTTTTGTTTATACATTTAATAATAACTATAAAAAATATATTATTTTGTTATATATTTTATTTCAAAATTAAGTGATCTGGCCTGTCTTTACAAATTAAAAAAGAAATTTAAAAAAAGAGAAGATGAAATTAAAAATAAATGTGAATATTTTGGGTGGTTTGACCAGACACTGCCATCGCTGTTGCTGCACACCCCTGCCCCTGGATTTCGGATGCAGACTGAAAATGTAAAGCAATTTGGGTTGTAATCTTCTCCACTGTCAATAACTTAGTAAGTGTTATTGATACATAACTTCATGTGTAAGAAAATTAAAAAGAAAAATTATCGATCGTTACTTAGGCTGGGAATAAAAAAAATGTTAATTATGCAAAAGCTCATTTATGAAAGAAACTATTAGAGCATGGGAATTAAATGTAATAAAATTATTATTAAATACCTTCACTTGAATTTCCCTGCAAGCTACAACGGACTAATTGTAGAATTTGTTTTGTAATCATTACCACAGACAACTTTGGAACTTCCTTTAAATTGCTCTTTCAGCTACCTTTGAGTATGTTTGTCTTACAGTATTGAAAACAAATACAAAATACAAATATTGTGAATTATATATTGGTTTTATAATTAATAGTATATAGCATTCTTTAAATCAATGAATAAGAAAATACATCTTTCTCTATACTATTTGAAAAAATGTAGCAATAATGTAGATTGTAAATAAATAAGTCACATAATTTTCATGTACTGATATATTTTCAGTGAGGGTTCTATACTCACCATAAGGTTGCTATAATCTGCAAGGGAGTTTGCCTGCCAATTTTCATGCACCTCCATGTTCTCTAGTGTGGGTCAACTTTCAACTATCAGACACTCGTGCATTATCATAGTCATTAGTTCATCAAAAAGCTTTGTCAATATTGTAATGGCATTAAAGTTCCCTTGGATGACAGTCTTCCCTATCTCTCTTTGGTACTTAACCGTGAAGTGCCAATATAAATAAATCAAAGTATATGTTAATATTCATTTTTAATATATAGATCTCTTCATCAACATAAATTGAGACGTAAATATTATATTCTCACTCCATAATCTTTTGCAACATGTGATACTTTAAGAGGAGTTTGTAGACTTCTATTCTCTGTGAGTTTGTAAATGCCAATGTAGACATTTGAAGCTCTTTGTAGCATGTGTTTATTTATTTTTGATTTTATATTTTTAGTCTACAATCCTTTGTTGAAATTTTTTTCACTTTATTTTATCTTTCAAAGTTAACTTGTTTGCAAAGGTTATAAATAAAATATTTTTCATGGAATGGTTTTTCCACTCTTTAGATTTTGAATGATCCTAATGAAGAAAAACTTAAATTAAAAATTAAAAAACTTTAATTAAAAATTTATTATTTTTGTAGATAATTTGTTGGTAACCAAGTATGAGAGACATTATATTCCTGAGTATTAGAGCGTTAATGTTTGCTGTAGAGATACATGGTTTTCCATTTCCTTAATAGTACAATTAAAGAAAAAAACTCCTTTGATCAGGCAGGATTTGAACTCTAACCTTGTGGATTTTCAATGGCATGTTAGTGGGCTGCCATCAGCGTTATCTTCAATTATTGCTAATAACAGTTGTAATTGGTTTATTATAACATACCATAAAAACATCTGTAGTGTTTTAGATATAAGAGACATTGGCAGTGAGAAAAATGTGCTATTTAAGATATAATGACAATTCAACTGCTTTTCTTGTGCATAATTACATACTTTTTTCATGGAATGAAATTGCTACATTTTCCAAAACTACATTTCTGATCTTTTTACACATATGAATCCAGCACTGTTAATAAATTTCTCTGAGTACAACATCATATTCTATAATTATTGCATTTAGTA